AGAATATTATAATATTAATTAAAACTGTCAATGCAATTTGATGCACACTGTATAAATATTAGCAAATTTTTAATTTTATTTTCCTATTTAAAAAAAATTTTTAATCAAATTTTTAAAATTGTATAAAATATATCAAAAGAATTAGTATAACAAAATAATTTTCAGTAAAATTTTTAAGTAAATAAAGTTTTTATAAATTTTTTGCTTCAATCTGAATTAATTATACAATATTAAAATGCATTTGAACGCATACTGGAATTTAATAAAACAAGAAAAATAAGTATTGCATTACAAATTTTGACTTTTTAAGTCAAGATTAAGTTAAGTTAAGTTGGGTAAAACTCTATCATTAACAAGTGTTAAACTATATAAAAAATAAGCGATAAAATATATTTGGAGTACATTTTCGTCTTGGAAGATTAAATATATATAATTTATTTTTGACAAATCAAGAATATTTTACAATATTTTATTTTTCTTGCTCATTATTTTATAGTTCTTTTGAAAAACAATTTCATATTAAGGCAATGCAATATAAGTAGAATGCAATAAAATGTTTTGTATTATAATTGTTAAAAATTACCTGTTTAAAAAGATTCTGAAATAAAACGTCCAATGTCTTCCAGCAGAAAGGCATCCTCATCTGAATAAATCGAAAATATCGACAATTATCGACAGTTTAAATTTTGTCACCAATATTACTGTTTTATCGTAAACGATATCGCTCTACGACTATAAAATGCTCAGGACACATGTTGAAAAGAACAATGAAATGGCATAACACAGGTAGAATGACAAAAGTCATAATCATTATAAAGTTATATGAAATTATTATAAGGATGTCGTTATGGCTTTATTTATCACTTATAAGGCTATATAATTATTAAGTCTATATAATTAATAAATATAACTATATAAGTCACATATATGAACGTAATTTAAATGTAAGTTACTTACAATATATTCTTTACTATCCAAAAAAAATATCACTGGCGTTTATATTAATCTTCTATAACCGAATTTTCTGCATATAAAAAAAATATACAAACGATAAGTGATAATCTAGATAGCACAAAGAGTTCAAAAAGAATTCACACATCATTAAGACTTCTTAGAAGAAAAAAAATTTTTTTTTTAAATTCTAAAAAAGAATTCTTTTTGCACTTAAAAAATAAACTCAGAATTGATGACATACGACTGCATATACGAATGAATTCTTTTTGAACTCTGTGTCTTTCTATCAGCAGGGAAGATACTAATATTAATTTAATACGTACAAAGTACAAATAAGCAAAGAAAGCACTGATGGCCGAGTATAAATATTAATATAATATTATTTTTAATTTTAAATATCTCTTTCAACTACAAGAACTGCGCGCCGATTACTGTCAGACTTGAAACGCAATTCTAATCTAAAGACAAAATAATGTAATTAAATTGATCTGTTAATAATTTGATAATGATGCTACAAACATCCTACACACTTTATTGCGTAAACTGTCTGTGTCTGTATCTCTTGCGTAAACTATCTGTAAACAATTTATTGCGAAAAAAAACTGATTAATCGGCTTTGAAATAAAAAAAATATATATGAATATGGCTTTCAAAATCATATATGTATAGAAAATTAAACTATTGTAAATGTCCTTGACATTTTTTTTACATTAACCAACCTATGTTAAAATAGTCGGCTCTTTTAAATAGCGTATTATTATCGTCGTATCATCGATCTTAAAATCTTATTCAAACTGATTGCATTGATCTGCAGAAATACTTCTATTCTGCATATCCACCACTTCTGCAGGCTCATTTATTATTAATTTAACTTTAAAAAATTGTCTAATTGTAAATAGTATAAGCACATAAAATAATGATCAGACTTTACTTTATCAAAAAAGTTACTCGACTTTTATTCTTTTTTAAAGTAACTTTTTCCATGAGTGAGTAAAAATATGTTGAGACATTTCAGGGTGTATTAAGATGTTTGGTGAGGAAGTGGGGGTGGGGAGAGAGGTAGGGAAAGTAGAGGTGGGGGTAATATATGTGGGTGGATAAGAGAGTGGTGAGCCATATCAAGACGTGTCGAAATATATTGAGGCTTTGTAATGCGTGGGAGGGGGTGGAAGAGCGTTTCGGGTGAACAGCGTATAGGTGGAAATGAGTACAGATATGGAGGATGTTTGGGGGTTGTGTAGGCGTACACGTATTAAAAGTCGCTTTACATCCAGACATCTAAGATGACGTCGCGACAACGTGACGTTTTTTAAATATAATTTGCTCTAACTGTTTTTGATGTAAAAGTAAAAAAGAATCTCTCTTAATATTCAATATAGAAAAAAAAAATCTTTCATTATAGAATGTGACTCCAAGCAATCGGCTGAGCCTGTTAAAAATTTTATTCACTTACAGCCCGTTTTTCCAAATATGACCATCGCCTCCGCTCAACTCGACGGTTCGAGCAAAGATATCCGGATTGATCTTATTGCCCGTATACAGGCGCGTATACCTATAATACTTAGCGTAAGACACTACCGTGTCTCTTGCAAGTTGACAAGTCAAATATTGTGATGCAATTAATACGAGCCTTTTAAAACAGCGTACCCATTATCGTTTATATCTTCTTGAAGTCTTCAAACTAATTGCTTTGATCTACAAAATTATTTTCTACATCGATCACTTCCGCAAACTCCTTTCACTCTCGAGATTTATCTGCAAAATATATTCTAGTTCGCACAAGCGCATAAAATAACGACGGAGTTTCGATTTATCGCGAATTGTAAATCGCAGCAAAATAGAGAGCTCATTATTTCTAGAGATGTGATAAATTCGAAGTGCTAAAAAAACGAAATATATTTAACAAAATTTAAAAATTGCACGCGGAAAGTTTGCACTTTGCAGTCATATCTTTAGGTTCTTAAATGAGATAAATAAGTCGCAATACTCACTGTGGTAAATAATCGTCTCGAGATATTAATCGTCAATATAAATGAATGTTAAGTATGATCGCAAAAAGCAATAGGAGTAAATTACGCTGCTATTTTGCTTGCTCGGATGTTAATGTACCTATGAATATAGTATAAATGGTACCGCATGTGGCGACTTTACGGAACAGAGTGTCGTATGCAAAAGAAAAACAAGAGCAAAGATCATGCACAAACTGACCACTTGATATATTAAATACAGATATATTAAATAACGGTTTGTTCAATACGTTTATTTGGAATATTCTATTCCTTCCTGTAATTAACTGTCTTAATAAATTTTGATCAATAGGTACGTTGCCGATTAAATCTGACATTTGCCTTATAATTTTTGCTCACTTGATCAGCTTTCAATTTTTTTGTACGTCTCATACTATACATTAATCAAAAACATAATCAAACGGAACTAAAGTTTTAATAAAGTAAAAAATTAAAATATGTAATTTTGTCTTGGTGAAATGTAACAATTTAAAAATTAAGTCGTAACTGACTGTTTTATATGCAGTTTGCTGTACTTTTACCGGATATCTCGTTATGATTGAATATATTTATAGATTAAAACTAATTATTCTAACTGCATGAAATTTCAATTAAGTCTCGATTAATCTGTAATTAAATGATTCATCAACTATTAAAATTTTATCTCGTAAAAATTAAAGATATTTTATTTCACTGATTTTAATCGACGATCCTCTTTTCTTTAGAGTGCAATTTTCCTTTTCTTATTTTTCTTTTCGTAAAATTTATACGCAACATACGCAATTTTTTAAACTGTTACATTTTACAGAAACAAAATTACATATTTTAACTTTTTGCTTTGTTGAAACTTTAGTTCCGTTTGATTTCGTTTTGACGTCGTTTTCGTTTCTAATTCTTCTAATTATGTATAGTATCAAACACATACAAAAATATTTATTTTATTATACGTTTCAAAGAAGTGCAATGTAATTAAATATAATACAAGATAAAATCGTAAAATACATTAGATATTTTACGCTTTACAAATTGTTTATCCATTTCAGAGATATCTAATTAATCATATGTTGCAAATAAAAACATCGGAAATGCGTATAACATAACAAAATTTTTATCTGTTTTCTTTTTTAATGCATGCTGTTCCGTTTTATCGAAATATAAATATCGAATATAGATTAGATACCTTGATTTTTAAAATTTTCTTGTTTAATTATTAATTTTACAAAAATACATTTATTAATCGTTATGATTAATAAATAATCAATATACTTTTTTATTATTTCGTTTGATTCTGCGAAAAAAAAGCCTCACATGCGCCAATTATTTCACCGCCAGTAATGTCTGTGTAATATTTACTATGTTTTATGTGTATATTTTTAAACATAGTGTTAAAAATAAATACATTCTAAATATTTCATTCTTTATAGTTCAACAAATTCTGTCGCACACTTTTTGCTTTGATTTGTGAATTTATTAATATTAATTCGCCTAAAGTTACTTATTCCTCCATTGAATTTTCAACTGAAAAAATTATAACAATAACTCTGGATTGTAGTATACATAATACCCAATTTAATTAACATGTGAATAATAAAAAATTTAAAGCATTTTATTAATGCATATAATAAACAATTTTATAATCATATTAAATAAGATATTATTGATACATATGATTATTATTTATGTATAATCATGTATCAATAAATTTTACACACTAATTGTGTTTAATCCTTTTTTTAAATAAAAACTTGAATGATTAATTACTCAATTGAAAAGTAATTATTAAATCTATCGTGTGTATTTCAACATTACAATTTATCTTTGTTTTAATAAAGCAAATTTTTACATCTGTCACTAATAAAGTCTTAATACCTTTTACTTTTAAATTTTTAATAATTAAAGACTTATACAATAAGTGCAATGTTATACTTAAAAAAAAAAAAGAATTCAAATTGAAATCTAATTTGTTAAATGTTAAATTGTAGCTAGCCAATATGCTAGCAAAACCATTTTTAATAGGATACACATTAATAATTATTTCAATTTCACGATAAAATATATATTTAATTATTTATTATTAATGAAATGGTCAAGACGCTTACAAATTCATTGCACAATCTTCTGCGAGCGGAAAAGATTCCACATACATGTGCACTTTTAATCAAATAAATCTCCATCAATAGCTGGACAATTTCGCGATAAAAATATACCGAATATACGCATTGCAAAAATAAATTAAGAAACTTTAGAAAGTGCCTAAATAAATAACGGTACCTATTAAGCTCAGTTCGCGAAACGTAGCAATGATTACCGCTGATACACCGTCGATCGTAACGAAATTTATTCATCATTCGTGTATATTACATCTTCATAAAGAAAGTAGGGACATATAATCAGAAAAAATATACTAGTTACCAGTGTACGTACACGTAACACATAAATGCGATGAGTTGTGGCTTTTCGTCTATGCGACATACAAAGGGGTATGATCGTTCGCCGTAAGTACGAGAAACCCACACAATTCTCGAATTGCTCGCCACAAAACGAAACCATTTAAGCGTACTCGTGCGGAAGAGAAATAATCGCGACGCAGAGCGCGTTACCGTTAAATCCCTCCCTTTCGTGCTAAAAAATTGATTGAAAACGTAATACCTATATATATATATGTACATCAATGTGCTGTGTTGGTGCGGCCCCGAACTGTTGGAAGCACTCCAACATAGTTTATTTATCACAGTAGCACCCCGACTGACGTCACGTCTATATCTAAATCGCGCGGACGCTTCCTGAAAATCTTGTCTACTCCGATGAATTCAACTATTAAGATCGTGTACGGTAACGATCGTAATCGCCTAAACGAACCGAGAATACCTCTCACACCCTATTACGCTGTGCATATTCACAGTTACAGTGTACGTTGTTGCGCTAATTATATCATGCGCGTCGAGATCCCGTTAGCGCTGCTGCTTTTACGCAAATAATTTCCGATTCGTTATGCAAGATACTCCATTATGTAAGACTCTTGAGCACCGTTTTTTTTTTTTTTTTTTTTTTTTTTACGAAGTGAATCGATGCAAATTTACTTTTAATCTCGCACGGGCAATCGGCCTGATATAACAATTAGGAAAAGATGATGTCTCGCTTCATCGACTCGGTCGCGCATTTCGTACGTCATATACCGAGATAACTGCAGAGGATGAATGCGCCGCTCACGCACAAGACTATCAGTATGACGACAAACCAGAATGGCAGTGTATCTGAAAGGAGAGAAAAGAGTTTGTTAGCTCTAATAGAACACGAAGGGGGCAATTTTGTCTACTCGCTCGCGGCGAGACACTCACGTCTGAATGGTATGTTGTGTATGCAGATCCTGTTGTCGACGGAGATACTGACGACCGCGGTCTCCGTGTTACTGGTAATCGCGGGACCGTCCAGTTTCGTTGGCAGGAATTCGAGACCGGTGACAAACATGCTGTGCGCCCCGGGGACGTGGAGCGCCTTCCTCAAGCTGAACGCCACGAATATGTCGACGCTGCCCGAGAACATCGTGCCGACGGCGACGAATTTACCGTCGTCGGATACGGCCAGCGCGGACAGGGCTTCCTTGTAGGGGGCGGACTTGACGATGGCCCCGGTGTGGACGTCCCACAGCTGAAGGAAACTGGGATTCTTCGCCGCGACGGCGTTGGACAGCACGAACAGATCGAGCCGCGTTTTGTCCTCCGCCAATTTTCTGAATCGGCACCTTTTGTACATGTACTTGGCGGTTCCGTCCGGCGGTGTCCAGGTGAGCTCCTTGTTCCTCGTGCCGTCGTTCAGGCTCCACAGGAAGGCCTTCCCGTCCTTGGCGATGCTCACCAGCAGACTGCCGTCCGGACTGAAGTCCAGGTCGTCTATCTCCTTCCCGTGCGCGTCGAGATCGTGCAATTTGTGCAACTGCGGGAACTTCCACACTCTGACTCTACCGTCCGTGCTGCCCGTGGCCATTATCGTCCCCTGCAAGCTCACCCTGACGACTCTTTGCAGAGGCTCGCCGTTCCTGCAAGCGAGCGAAGCTCTCGTTAGAAATCAGCGCGACGCGACTCACCGACGTGAATAAACGCATGCAAAGTAGTCTTACCCGAAAGCCGTCTGCACGCTATCGGCGGGCTTGAGAATCAACTGAAGCTTCTTGCTCTTGACATTAGAATTGTCATCCTTGATCTCCTCTATCCTCTCCTTCGGCGACTGAGCTTCCTCGACTCTCTCGCTGTTCCGCCTGTGCCTGAGGCCATCTCTGCTGGCCGCCGCTGCCGGCCCCTTGATCAATTCACCGTTCTCCGACGTCACCACCTTGAGATTCACATTGTACAGTTGACAGTGACTCTCCTGGCCAGCAACTATCCACGTCTTCTTGCCATTGTTGTGCGCGGCACAGTTCATCACCACGCTGGGACCCGTCTCGTGCCTGGTCACCTCTTCGGCAACAAAGTGTGCTCCATTGTGTGACAATTCAAAAATTTCCTGCAATGACGAAGAAAAACTTGAAATAATTGCATTTAAATGACATGTTAAAAAAGTCTCGAATCGAAAAGAAAAATAGAATTTGAAAACAAGATTGAGAAATAAATCCCCAGATAGATCAGATTTTACAAAATGTCTGCTGTAAATTTTATAATTAATCGCGGAGCGGTCAGCAGAAACAACAGAATCTGCTGTAGCGGAACACACGATTGAAGAAACCAAGTAAAATCTCCCATTTTGCACATTACATTCAATGAAACGCAGTCCATTTAAATGTGGTCACGAAATGAGACAGATTCCGCTGGATCAATCTGCGACTGGAGTTACGTGAGACTACCGGAGCAACTTACAAATCCATTGGCAACGCCAGTCTTGGAGGAGCCGCCACCGCCGCCCACGAGGATGTGCCTGCTGGTGAGCATCTGCAGGGTGTAAAGGGGGAAATTCACCCTGGCCAGGAGGCCGCCCTTGTTCCGTCTGGAGGGCATGACGCGGCAGATATCTCGCCGTCCGAGTTACGATCCTCCGGTGGTGTCTCGCGCGTGTCTCGGGTGTCCTGCGGACAACCTGCTGTCGAGGTATACGTCCCGCGGGATCTGGTTAGCTGGTTGGTCTGCAGCGGGATCTAGCACTGATCGGATGAATCGCGCGCGCGACACCCGCGTCCCATCGTCACCCCGGGGGACGGCCTTTTAAACGACGGGGACACGCGGCTCACGTGTCACCTCACCACACGGAACGTAAGACGACGGCGGCGGGCGCGGGGCGATCCGTGGTTGGACTTTGCGCTGCAAAGGCAGCGGAGGTACACGTATTCACTCGGAGCAGCCGCGCGGCAGCGCGCGGTTGAACGCTCCGTTGCGAGATCGCGCCACCGTGATATCGTCGGCGTATATACAGGCTATACAGCCGTGGCTGGCGCGGAATTGCAAAACGGAAGGAAAAAGGGGGTGGAAAATTTTGAATAATTAAAAAGCACGGAATCGTGTTTCTTCAGTTGAGGCATACTCCTCGCGTCTCTGCACGATCGTCCATTTGTCCGTAATTCTACGTAGATTTTAAGATTACGTCTACACGATTATTTACGTGAGATCTACCTATATACAATATAAAAGAATTAAATTATAAAACTGCAGTCTCTACCCACAATAGAAATATCCGAAATGTATCTATAGGAACAGGCTAAAGATATCACAACATTTTTAGGATTTGATGTATTTTGAACATTAATTTAATTACGAGATTAAGATTAAGAATGTAACCAGAGGATTTTTCTTACTCAAATGGTAGTTTTTTTTACATAAACGTTAAATTATATATGTATTTATTAAATGAATAAATATATAGTCTACTGACCGTCTACATAGATGACACTTATATAATAGTTTACGTTGCTACACGTAAACGTAGAGTATTATATTTTACGCGTAGATGCACAATCCTGTTTAATATGGTTATATCTCGTCGCGGTCAACCGAGAAAACCGGTAATCGATATACTGCCGCTTTGCCGACCGAGCGGGCTGAGGTATCTCCCGATTAGAGCACTTGGAGCTGCGGAGGCTCTATACGAGAGCTCCGCAAAAAATGGCAGGTGCCATAGTGCGTTGTTTTCAGGTCCCGAGGAGACAGTTGGGTGAGTCTCGAGCATCCCCCTCGTTATCGCGGCCACGCGAACTCTCGCGAATCATGTACTGGCCACCCGTGACGGGACGGCGAGCGAGCTTCGTCTCGCGCGCCTCCGAGGAACGACGCTCGCCGCGATAGCGGGCCTACGAGGTTATGTAATTAAATCAATTTGCGCTATATTTAAAGGTCTCCTCGGATCGAGCAGCTTGAGCAGTCAGCAGCAGAGAACGCTCGCCGATGCCGCGCCGGAAGGAAAGGTGAGGCTGCCTCTCTGAACGTCCGTTCGTTTTGATTTTCCCTCCACCTCCTCTCCTTGCCTCGACGTGTCCCCCGTCCCTGCTTCAAGTACAGTTAAAGATGAACTGAGAGAGCTCGTGGCCGGTTAAGCGGTGTTCTGGCGTAGTCACCGTCTTTATTTTCTTTCGCAGAAGAAATGTGGTCCCCTGGCCGATCAGGATCGCATCTTCACGAACCTGTACGGCAGACACGACTGGCGGCTGAAGGGGGCCATGAGCCGCGGCGACTGGTACAAGACCAAGGAGATAGTGGAGAAGGGCGCCGACTGGATCATCAACGAGATCAAGGTCTCCGGCCTGAGGGGCCGCGGCGGCGCCGGCTTTCCCTCCGGCATGAAGTGGTCCTTCATGAACAAGCCGTCCGACGGCCGGCCCAAGTACCTGGTGGTCAACGGCGACGAGGGCGAGCCGGGCACCTGCAAGGACCGCGAGATCCTGCGCCACGATCCGCACAAGCTCGTGGAGGGCTGCCTGATCGCCGGCCGCGCCATGGGCGCCTGCGCCGCCTACATCTACATACGCGGTGAATTCTACAACGAGGCGTCCAACATGCAGGTCGCGATAGCCGAGGCCTACCAGGCCGGGCTGATCGGCAAGAACGCCTGCAACTCCGGCTACGACTTCGACATCTTCGTGCAGCGCGGCGCGGGCGCGTACATCTGCGGCGAGGAGACCGCTCTCATCGAGTCGATCGAGGGGAAGCAGGGGAAGCCGAGGCTGAAGCCGCCGTTCCCGGCCGACGTCGGCGTGTTCGGATGCCCCACGACCGTCACCAACGTCGAGACCGTAGCAGTGGCGCCTGTACGTGTTACCGATGTATTTTTTTCTCTCTCCCTTTCTTGCGTTTACTCTATTTTATTCTTATGGAAAATGTTATTCGTACAGACGATCTGTCGCCGAGGTGGAGCGTGGTTCGCGTCGTTCGGACGTCCGCGCAATACCGGAACCAAGCTCTACAACATCTCCGGGCACGTGAACAATCCGTGCACCGTCGAGGAAGAGATGTCCATCCCTCTGAGGGAGCTGATCGAGAGGCACGCGGGAGGTGTGATCGGAGGATGGGACAACTTGATGGGTGTCATTCCCGGTGGCTCCTCGACTCCCGTCATTCCTAAGAGGTAAGAAAATTCGACGCCTCCTACCGGCAATTCGACTTCGAGCTCCAAAAGTCACGGTTCGGAAATTTCACAGCGCATGCGACACCGTCCTGCTGGACTTCGACGATCTCATCAGAGTACAGAGCTCGTTCGGCACCGCCGCGGTAATCGTGATGAACAAGCAGACGGACATAATCAAGGCCATCACCCGTTTGATAAGCTTCTATAAGCACGAATCCTGCGGCCAGTGCACGCCTTGCCGCGAGGGTATCAGTTGGATGTATAAAATACTAAAAAGGTGGGCATTGTGAGACACATTTGTCTCGTTCATAGAAAAAAATATATATATATATATTAGCCGGTCTTATAACAATTTGTTTCGCAGGTTCGTGGAAGGCAACGCCGAGGTACACGAGATAGACATGCTGTGGGAGCTTACGAAACAAATAGAACTGCACACAATATGCGCCCTGGCGGACGGCGCCGCGTGGCCCGTGCAGGGTCTGATCAGGCATTTCAGGCCGGAAATCGAAGCGCGCATGAAGGAACAGAAACGAGCGTCGTCGAAAAGTTGAGAAATCGAGCGGGATAGGCAATCGGAGACCGGAGATTAGACACAATACAACGGGATGAGATACTTAGAGCGTTCCCCGTAAGATTTTATATTTATTTTCAGTGTATATAAATGAATCTAAACGTGATAGTTACTCCCCTGTAATAATATCTTTCGACCCCGGGAGGCTGAACATCCATCCTGGGAGGTTCGACTAATAAAATAAATATAAGAGTTAAACTCGATTATATTTCGTGTAGATTGCAAGTGCTCTCCTTCAAAAGATCGCTAAACGGAGTCAAATTGAAAATCTTGTCTAATATTTGCGTTTACGAAGCAAAATAAGACCGGCGAAATAAAATGCTTTGGAAACTAGAAAAAAATCGTATTTCGAGCGCTTTAGTGCGGGAGAAAAATCGATACGACGCTTCAAGATTTATTCAAGATTGATAGGCGTTATATTACGAAATTTATAAGTTCTAATCTACACCTTTGCAAGAGCGATTCATCTTACCTTACCAAAGATGACACTCTGGATGAAACGGCGGCATGAGAATATGCAACAGGCCGATGTGAAATTTCAAGAAAAATATACGATATCGAACAGAGAGACTCGTGTGCGAGAAAATATTTAAAAAAGGAAATCGATTTATTCTCGAATATTGGGCGAAATATTTTACTTACAGCCATGTAAGACTAACATTTACCTCGCGCGTTTTCTTATGCAAATAGCACGTGCTTCCCGTGCTACGCGGTTTTCGCGGGAATTATGTTACGTCTCGCGTTGCGGGCTGGCTCTCGAAGCGTGGCTCTCGCCGTGAGTAACGGCACCGCGGGCCGATGTATTGCGCGAAATAAATGATACGGCTGCTGAATGGAGGATATTTCTGCCGAACGTCACTGCGTTCGGAATGAAGCCGGGAGGCCGATCTTCCCTTCCATGAATCATGCATATACGATCCGCGCTTACTTACGAATCTCGGAGGAGAGAAGGAGGGAGAAGGAGGGAACGCAAAGAGATCCGGGGCACGTCCGGAGACGAGAGTGTCCGCCGTTCAATTTTATCGAACGATACTTTGCATTTATTCGTTCATCATACAAGAGAATTCACTAGCTCTAAACGTTCCTCCGGCTACAGTACGGATAATAATGTGACTTTAGATACGGTACAATGTGCGTATACAATACATATATACAAAAGCACGTTCGCTCGTTCCGCAGACCCGCGGCTTTGCGTTCTGCTCTATCTCTCTCTCTCTCTCGTTCTCTCGCACTCTCTTCCGTTCTCTCCCGCTCTCTCACTCCCTTCTCTCTCTCTCTTAGCGCCACTAAAGTCGGAACTGTCTTTTTCGCGGTTTTTCTCTCGAATTATCGTTAGTTACTTAAATAATAGATTTTAAGCTAGCCGTTACATTCTCGGGATAGCTCGCCGGAGGAGGCGAGCTGCCCCGGTTGTGTTAGTAAGCGCACACACTGTCTTTTATGATAGGTCCGTTGTGTTACGTTACCTTCGTCTCTCTCTCTCTCTCTCTCTCTCTCTCTCTCTCTCTCTCGCTCTCTTATTCTCATCCTATGTATACATATACATAATATATATTATCTATACCAAAAATCCACTTCATTCCGTCGCGCATCCGATATTACAATTCCCCTTCATTTTCGCTTCTCCTATCCATGATTCTCGCGGGCAGTGATGGCAGGATCGGTTTATCCCAAGTGCTCGCTCCAAGATTGAAAAAATATCTAGGCACCATACTAACAACGCACACATTTTCCCCCTCGAACGTTTTTTTCTATTTTTTTTAGGCACTAACATATCCCATATTGCATATAGATGTTGCATCCGGCGTTAAGCCTCAAGTACTTCAAAAAAAGAAAAAAAAAGGATAACTTCTTTCAGTGGTCGTATCTTGATCCCGTCGAGTGTCCAGTTTTAAAAAAGACCGAGTTAATATAGCTACGCCCAGCGCTCTAAAAGCAGTCGTTTCCTAAGGCTCTCACGCTCTCGTTTTCTAAACTAAAACGGGAGGCTACTCTAAAGAGATATATATATATATATATATGCTTTAACAAACACACAACTTCCGACCGTGTACTTAAAACGGTGAATTAACGGCGGGTATATATACGTCGCGGCAGTACGAACTTAATTAAATTTAAATTCTCGTTGATACGGCACATTGTAGCGTTAATAATCGTATAGGTCCGTAGCACTTGTCGTCGGAGATCATTCCCTCTCGGCAAGCATCCAGACGCGGTCGCACGTGAATTGGCCCCGTTTAGAAAAAGAGAAGTGCGTGTCGGATTATGACGTTGAGAGTCAAAAAGTCGCTAATTTCATCGGAAGGCATAGTAATCTGATGCGCGCGCGCTACGCCGCGTCTGTAAGCTTCGCCCCAATCTGTGTTTCTGGATCACTTCCCATCACTGCTCACGACGACTTGACGGCTCGCACGACCGCTAAAATACAGGCTCCGCATCAGGCTCCGCGTCGCACCCCGCGAAGCGCTGTTTTGTCGCTCGGACCGCGCGCGCTGTTCGCCCGCTCTTGTGCACACGCTGCGCCGCGTGTTATCGCGCCGCGTGTTTCGCAAAACACGAGGCCCCCGCATGCGCGTATGTACGGGGGCTTCTTCGTGTTCGCGCGCGAAAAACAAGCGCGCGTGCAGCACAGCATTGTCCTGCTGTTTTATACATATATATAAAAAAAAAGCTCGCAGAAATATCGACGATTTCTGGCGATCGATCCTGCGATACGCGCGGAACGGGAGCGGACACAGGGGCAGTCCTGGCAACGTGGTGGGCTGACAGAAGGTATAGATTACGCTTCGCGCGTGCCTTTCGCGGCCTCTCGACGACGGCGCGGAGACGAGAGAACGCGACGAATTCGTAATAAAATAAAATTGTAGCACGTTTTGCTAGTCTCGCGTTTTTCACTCGCTCCCCGGATTGTACTTGTTGCGAAACACCTTTGTCCTCCTCCTCCTCCTCTCCGTCGGCCCGGCCCCGCGCGGACGGGCCGCGCTCATCTCGAGATATCCCGTCGGCCCTCGAGAAAAGGTACGTTATGCACGATATGATTGAAAGCTCGCTGGTCGCACGCTCTTTGGCATGATCATTGGCTGTCTTCCGGCAAGATCACGCTTATTGTTAGGAGAACCCTGCCGCTGGACCCGCGCCCATCGCGCGCATTTGGTTTCCTCACCTTAAATATCTGCCATAAAAATAGACGCGCCTCTATCGCAAAGTTTCCGTACGTCAGTCTCCTACCTACATGCCACTTCGGAGGATACGCAATTTCCCATTTACTTCTTCTCACTCTTTCTCCCCCCCCCCTTCCCCTCCCCTTCCCCCTCCCCCGTCGTCGTTCCCGATTCCAAGGAGTCTATTCTCGAAACCGTGCGGAAAGAGTTTCGCGCACGTGTGCGTGAATGAGAATCGAATCACTGTTCACTCAATGAGGAACGTGGTCTCATCGTCGGTGAACGTAGGAAATAATTTGCCGATTATCCGCGCTCATGCGCACGGTCTCGAGGATACCGTCGCGCTCGTCGGTTGGAAATAGGAGACTGGCGAGTAACAGACATCACCACATCGGAGAGATTTCCTAATAGTATAATAAACTATTAATACCGATGTATATTTCTCTCTTCTCTCTTTATACCTCTCGTTCGATAATTTACGATAATCTTTTCACAACGAGTATATTAGCGATACACAACCACTATACGATAATACGAAAATCGCAGGGCTCCGTTGAAATTGTTCCAAAGCCGAATCCGTCGGTGGATAAATTTATCTCCCAGTTATAGCTGACTTCTGTCAAGCCAAAGTACTGAGGCGGGTTTGATGCCAAAAGCAACACTGCTGCCGAATATAATCGATATCGCCTGTTCACTTCCGCTCGTCCGTAGTCAATTTCGAGTCAAATTCGCAGCCACGACGGTGATTTACCGGGAACGTCTCCCGAGAACGCTGATCGAGCGCGAAACGTCACATGCTAGCTCGCTGCTGCTCCGCGCAGCGTCGTCGTTTATTCTTAGATGATAAGACATCGCTTCTGCAGGGCGCGCGGCATTGGAATTTTGAGAAATGGATCGAACGGTATCTCTCGTGAATCAAAATGTTCCCGTAAGATTGGAGAGTGTAACAGTCGCGCGCGCGCGCGCGCGCGTGCGAGTGCCGGACGACGTCTCGCGGCGATAGAAAATAGACGAGAGACTCCGCGGCTTTCCACGTTTCTATGTACGTCATAAATCAAGATGAATGATACGATCCATCGGAATACCATGCCACCTCCGACAGATGCATCAATCTTCTCTAACATGTTAGGGGTGTCTCGCTCCAGTGGCAGTGACTTTTTGACCGCCGCTGTTCGTAAAAGCGGCCGAGGCTACTCGCGTTTTCCAGAACATACATTTGTCTCAGTCCGCTAAGGGCGTACGCGCCAATGATTTTTATATACAATTTGTGCGCGCGCGACGTATCGTTGGTATTGTAAAATCGAACAAAAGTTATTTAATTATTCATACCGTTCCATGTGTATATATATATATATCACGATTTAAAAATAAGAATAGAATTATCTTTAGGCATTGCCGCTTCGCTGTACGGCCCCCCGTGTCTTTATCGTTAAAACATTTTGATCGACAAATATCGCGACAATATAATCACAGATCATCTTACATTTGTCCACAATACATCTTTTCAATGACGAAAAAACTGTTCATTAAATTCGGAAGCTACAACGAAGTCCTGCGACTTACAAGATCCACATCGACCGACCGACCGTGCAAGAACATTTGATCAAATCCTCTTACGCGGCTGTTACGCGGAGAGAAACGATCGTATAGGAACAATCATTGCATCTTATTACGACATCTCGGCGTGACTTTACTGCATAACTGTACAAGGCGCTTCCAGGTTTGCTCGGAGGAAACATGATTGAGAAACCCAGAACATTGCTGCGGCGAGACAAAAATAACAATAATGATGATCTGATTTATTATAGCTGGCTCCCGAGAAATCAGGGCAGCGTTGCGGTAATAGGATCGGTAACAACGGCTGTCTTTTGTCGCTATGATTAATCCGCATAATAACGTCTCGCGTCTCGGATCGTTTCCCGCGTAAGATCGCCCGCATGGGGGAGATTTGCGCGAGAGACTCTGCCAGAAATATATATAACGAAACGAGAACGCGCGCACGCGAACGGATTAACTCGCCACGAGAGAGGACGAGCGTGCATTTCTGCGCGCGTAAACGGGCGAATCGTCGGAAATTGCTTCGCGATAACGCCAAGTTGTCGCTTACGATCGCTTATCGACGACGAGAGAGTTTGCAGAAATGTAAACATCGAGCGACGTGAGATTGTTCCAGCAATCCCATTTCTCTCTCGTACCGCAGCAGCATCCCGGAAAGTCCGACGGCCAAAGTTGCAAAGGGCAGGGGACGCACGGCTGTTTGTCTACTGTGTGTGTATGTCTGCGTGTATTCGTCTACATGTACTTGCTTGCGCACGATGGTCAAGATCGCTCATTGGCGGATGGAAGGCACGGGGTAAGGATATCAAAAGGGGGGATCGAGACTCGACGACGACGACGACGACGACAATGACGACGTTCGTCGCTCGCCGAGGAATCCGCGCGGATCGTCTTCGATCGCGTCGTCCGAACTATCGATCGTCGCCGGTCCAATCGCTCGCCGCCCACGCGGGCAGCGGCGTCTCGTATTCCCATCCCGGGCCGCAGTAACGCCACGCGTGCAGATACATCACCAGGTCCGACGGCTTCGGGTCCCTATACTTGACTTTGCACTCGTAGCAGTGCGGGTCGACGGTGACCTTGTCGTTGGCGAAAGTGGAATCCGGCGGTTCCGAGCCGGTCTGCGTTCCCACGGTGACTTTCAGAGATTCCTGCTGCGGCGGCGGCGGCGGCGGCGGCGGCTGCTGCTGTTGCTGTTGCTGTTGCTGTTGCTGCTGCGGTTGCTGCTGCTGCTGCTGCTCGTCCTCGACCAGACCCGGGGTGGACGACGGCGAGGAGCCGTTGTCCTTGTCGCTGCCGGAGCCCAGCATGCGCTCCTCCAACTCCAGCTTCGGCTTGAACAGGCTCATGTCGGAATCGCCGTCCATGCCAAGCCAATTCTCGGCGTTGTGAATGCTGATGAGATCCCGCACGAGCTCCTCGTCGGTCTTGCCGATGTTACCGCCCTTACCCTTGTGCGGGCCGAAGACCACGTGATTGTACAGGGGATCGTTCACCACGGGATAGCCGAGGTACTGCAGGTGCACGCGGATCTGGTGCATGCGCCCGGTTTGCGGCTTGCACAGCACCACCGACGACTTGCCGTTGTAGCTGAGACGCTTGAAGCGGGTGATGCAGTCCTTGCCCTTCTCGGAGACCTTGCACACGCCGATCTTGTAGGAGACGACCTCGATCGGCTCCGAGCAGATCACCTCCTCCTCGGGGAACTCACCCTCCACTCGGCACACGTACTGCTTGTGGACCTGAAATGTGAAGGTACGACGTACAGCATAGCGGTAGCGATTAGCGACGGAGGCCGTCGTCGCGGTGCGTCCGCACGCCAATGTTAAAGCGCCTCCGTCAACGACGGACGAGCGACGCCAGCTGCGCGCCAGCTTCTATAATGTTCCTTTTTTTCTCGCACATATCCGAGACGCACGCTTACGCAACCAACCTGTCGATTTCTTATTTGGTGCTCCATCTGCCTCGCCTTCTTCGGCGTTCTGCCGAACAGGAGAATGCCGCTCGTCAGCCGGTCCAGCCTGTGAATGGTCCTGAGGTTCTTCAAGTTGTACTCCTTCGCCAGGATAAAGACCACGGTGTTGTGCCGGTAACGACCGCATGGGTGCACCTGCGAATGGAGACGGGGTCAAGCCGTTTTTATTTTCGCATCTTTATACGCTCCGGTTAAGTCTGATACTCGCGCTGAACGCTGAGTGTGAAAAATGAAAATGGATCTAATCTAATTCCAGAATTGTCCAGAAATGCAAAACAGAAAGGAGATCGAGACCTCTCTATACGTAGCTTCGTCCCGAGTTCGAAGCGTTTCTTCCGCGTTTCACGCAAAACATCAAGTAACCAGAATATCTTCAGGAAATGAGAGGTCGACTGGTAAATTTACGGAGCTTACACCGCTTAATGAATGTACTAGGCGCCCATCGGCTTGTAGCCAATGTAAATTCGATGAAGCACAGAACACACGCATACACACACACACACGCGCGCGCGCGCGCTCGTACACGTACGCATCCACACAAGAGCGATCAACCCATTTCTCCTGGCGAATTCGGGACAAAAAGCAATCGCGTCTGTTAAAGGAAGGTCGATTCATCGTTTCGAATCGGCATGGCACAGGAACGGGGCGCGCTTTATGCATTCCGGCCGACAATGCGGATTTGTAGGTACAACGAGCCGGCTGGCTCTGGCTGACTAGCTGCGGCGGAACGTATCGGACTCTTCCTGACTCGATAAGTCCGCGCGTCTATCAGCACCACCACGATGCACGTACATATATATATATATATGCACAATAATGCACGTCGGAGCTATCGAACGCCCCCCAGCGATTCGGCGAACCGCTACAATAATCCGGCGATCGAAGGCACTCTTTTCTGCTCGCCGCCACAAAGATTTCACACCTTCCCCCTCCCCTCCCCCCTCCCGTCGCGGAATGAATTTCAAGAATGCAGTTCAGCAAGCGAACGAATCCCGAATTTTCAACGCTAACGTTATGCACAACAATTTTTCCCGGCCCAGTTTCTCGCCGCAGAAATCCAGAAACGTATGTATAATCGAATTTCTTTTTCCCGTCTCGCATTAATGTTAATTTTACTAATTTGAAACAAATTAATGTAATTAAAGTCTTATAAAATTGTAGCATGGTACATTTTGTTATTAAAGTGACTTAAGCGCGATGTTGAAAAAGTTTAATGACTTTCCCCCATTGTCGTAGGCCACGCAGGGAACGGTGAAGGGAACGAGGAAGCGAAAGCGGGTGCACGACAAAGTCGCGGTGCTCCGCGATTGCATAACGGTTTTAACGACGTCTGCACGCGAAAATTAATTCGGCCGATTGTCAGGCGGCCCCGAGAGGTCTCCTCGCGATGGAGCAAGAGGATGGGGGAAAAAAAGGTACTCGAGAGAAAGCGGGGAAGCGCGAAAGCGACCATTAAGTCGTGCATCGCGCTCGCCGAGTATCTTATACTCGCGCGTCGAATTATTTTTGCATTAATACCCGGCTGTTTTGTTGCGCAAGCTCTTGTTAACGATCCCCCCCCCCTTCCTTCAACCCTCTCTCTATTCCGAGGACGCCGGCCACCACCGCCGGTGCATTCGGTGACATTTGAGAGGAAAAGTGGCCGAGCTCGGTTTCGCCGAGCGATACGGCGCGCCGAGCTCGCCCGCTTGTAAGTATTTATCGCCGAGGCAAAGCCTCGCGGCCCGTCGTGGGCGAATAAAACTTGCAACCACTGCGGTGGCGCGCAACCAACGGTCCTGACGGCGAAAACGAGAAAAGAGAACGGGGGAAAAAAAAAGATATAAAGAGAAGGAAAAAAAAGAGTATACGTAAAGTCTCATAAGCCGGGGTCTCTCGCGCGAGCCCATCTTCTTTTTTGGACACCCTGGGACACGCTTTATTTTTCTCAGCAGGTGTACACGTCGCCGCGCGCGTTATTATCGTCGCGGATTGAAATAACCGAGACGAAAATTGCTGCGGAGTTGGAAAACGAAAAGAGGGAGACCGTTAAACTCGTTTCCGAGAGAAACCATCGTAACCGTTAATTCACGCCAATGAATCACCGATATCGCCGGTTTAATGCATCGGACTCGCGGTATTGCGTTTCACCCGCCGCGCGAAAACGCGATATGGGCGCCCCTCTGTCCTTTTACCTCTGCGTTGTTTTTACAGCAAAGTCCGCGAAGTGCGACATTATCGCGGAGCGGCAATAATAGCAGCGGAGTAAATTATCCGTGATTTGCGAGCGTCGTAATGCGCGCGATTAACATTTTAATAGTGAGTTTTATTCGCGCGGGCGCGCGGACCACGCCGTACTCCGCGTCGCGCAGACCGACGGACATTTAACGCGAGTTCGCCTGCGTGCGCGCGTAACTACTCTCCCTCTTTTTTTCCACGTGGTTCTTTTTTCCACGTGGACTTTTTTTCTTCTTTTGGTCATGATTGTTTCATATCGCGAAGTATGCATATACCAGGAGAGACCGTGGCCGGCCGAGGGTGAACGTCGAAACGTTGCATTTTAAAAAGGCGAAGCTCGTCAGAGAGACCCTTGGCATTTGACGCACACATCTGTCAACCGTGTTGTTTTGTTTAGTCACCGTCTGAAAAACGACTCGTTAGCGACGATTTAGTCGCCTTCCGCGCGTCGAGAAAGTAAGAGAAAGAGAGAGATGGAGAGAGAGAGAGAGAGAGGGGGGGAAATAAAAGAGAGCTAACGAAATCAGAAGGTCCGACATTGAAGGAGCGGAAGTCTGGAGCGCGCCTCCGGTTGGGACGCGCTAAAATTTAATTTAGGAGTACACTCAAATATGTATATTTAGACAAAGCGTTGGAAAAACTTCATCAGCGAGAGTGCAAAAGGACAGAGTCTGTGGGAATTCTAAATTTAACGGCGATAAGGACTTTAACCCCGCGCGAAAGCGTGCTCCAGGAATAATTTTCGCAGTAACAGATTACAGTTATACTTATAAAGGCAGCTTCTGGAATTTTTCACAGATGAGCTGGAACGAGCGGTGGCTCAGCGAGTATCAAGCGAATTGGCTGCGCCAAAAAAAAAAAAAACTGTCGAGGGAACATGCAAAAGAGAGTATCGTGTTTGCCATGCGTGTGCGAATGTGTATATGTGTGGTTGATGGACAATACGACAAACAATTTTTTGGCAGTACAGTTCTGGCAGTACACCACTTACAGGGATGGAGGCGGGCTTGTTGACCACGACGACGTCCTCGTCCATGTGTATCACCGTGATCGGCTCCGAGGTGACAGGCACCTCGTGTCTGCAACACACCAATCGCAACCAGCTTAACGTGGCTTTGTTCCGTTTGCGTTTACACGTCTCGCACACACGCAAACACACACACACACACACACACACACACACACACACACACACACACACGTACGTGGTGCACGTACGTAGATGTACACTTTTGCACACGCACACACATTCATACCCAGCCACACACATTTATTCATTTGTATACGCACACGCGATAGACGCATCGAAATGCCGGGTAATTGTCGCGCGAGTATAGACAGTACATCCGTGGGAAGTACCGTCGACCGACTTGGATTGGAGCTAAGCGGTGATCAAGTCCGACGTTGTAGGTATAATTACTGCGAGGAGAGACGGCTGGCGCGCCGCGGCCGATCGCCGATTGATAGTCTTATCGCGATTCCGTTGCCGGCAATCGGCAGTCAGCGCCCGCGCGCATGCACACGCCGCCGCTTTTTCGCGATTCTATCCAGGCACGGATCGATTGCATACACATCCCGACCGCAAAAGGCGGAAAAATCGCATGCCGTCGCGCCGACTGCGTTCCTACGCGCGCACGCCGGCATGCAAATACACGCGCGCCGCGCGCGCGTGCGAGGAGCCACAAGCCGGGTCGAGAATAGCATCGTGAAAATATATAGCTGCGCTTTTATCTAACGTTAAGGGTAAACGGACGAAGGAGGGAGGGAAGCTAGACAGAGAAACCGGAGCGAGGGGGGAAAAAAAACTGAAAAGAGAAAGAAGAAATAAATACGGCAGGTGGATGCACGTGCATGCGGCGGCCCCAATTATGAGTTCCATCTACCTAATGCATTTCCACTCCGCAAAACTACGGTCGCGCCCACTACGTGTCCTATGCACGTGCATTCTCTCCGCGCGAACAATAAGGAGACCTCGGCAAAGGGAAAAAACAAGTGCGATGAAAAGAGACGGGAGAGAGGGAGAAAAAGGGAGAACCTTCGGCGCATAGAGATTGGATTTGCAAAATCTTTCCCCGTCGCTTTACAAAGTGCCTCGTTCACGATAAATGGCGTTTGCGATGAAGGCCGGATAGCTGCGAATATCGGATAAAACACGTGACAAACAGAATTCAATTTGGCGAGCAAGACGTTCGTAAAACTTTATAAATTGCAACAACCGCCGCGACGAAAATCCCGGAGGGGGCCGACGACGACGCACCTCTCGAAAACTAATCGCGAATCGATGCGATCGTTATGCTCCGTTATTCTCACGCGAATTCGCAACCGGAATGGATTCGCGTAGACGTGCAGTGTGACGTATCGAAATCACGAAGGATGTTATTAAATCGCAAAAGTAGACCGAGGGCGAATTTAATGTAATGGCATTTCATATAGCTGTGCGAGAAGTTTGCTCCTCGAAAACGGTAAAATTGTACCCCTTCGGGATTATTAATCTAATCGTCCAGAGTTTAAATGGTGGAACGCGATTCACTTCGTCGACTTCTCTCATTACGTATCTCTTGTCATTATTACGTGCATTATACATTGACAAAAAAACCCACGATGTTAGTCACGCACTATACTATACTATTCTTTTACATAGCACTGCTCTATCGGTTACGCACAAGTATATCTATTGTTCTGTTTTTCCCACTTCAAGCGCGCAAGGTTGAAATGGAAAATCATTATTGTAAAAAAACCATCACGACAGATTACATATTGTATATACTTATCCTGAGGCACATAATCGAGCGCCTCTTACAGTTTCATTCGACACATTCTTCCGTTCCGTGTGTGTGCCCTCCTCGGGTTCTTTTCTTTAGGGAAAATAACTCACGTTTCGCAGAAGAGAGAGAGAGAGAGAAAGACAGAGCGCCGAAATGTACATACATACACTGTACGATGTGTACCGAAACCGAGAATAAGCAACTTCTATCTTCCAATTGGCTGACACGATATTATGCAACCTCACAACGAAAGGCAATAAATCGCTTCCGTCTCGTAAATCACATTTCCGCTCCAACATTTCGGGTTCGCCACTCTCAAAGTATCTTCGTTGTGCATACATACACGCAGCGTACGTACATGCGCGCGCGCGCGCTCGCGCGTACGCCGTACCTTAAAGTTCGCGACAGAATTTCGAAGCGTATCACATGAAGGGAACATTAAATCATATATGTATATTCTGTCCCGTCGAGATGGCGTCGGATAACACGTACACGGTACCCGCTCGCGAAGTGTAACGATTCTCTTATCCTATCTTTAGTAACACTAGCAAACTATTTCAGGTGCTTTGCCGCTTTCAGATTCCACTCTCTGTCGCTCTCGTTCGCCATTAATTTTAACAAACGGAAACTCGAATTCCATGTCGGATCGTATAACCGAGGTAACAATATGCAGAATTGCGGAATGTAGAATTAACATTATACGACAGATAATGTATCATAAATAAAGTGTCCAGAGAGAGACAGAAAGAGAGAGAGAGAGAGAGAGAGAGAGAGAGAGCAGCTGGTTTTCGTATCTCATACACGATCAAATTATATTTGACGCGACTACGAGTCGGCCATCACGTATGACACACCACCGCTTTTGTTTTTATCCGAAAGTCAGTCATTATTATTTTTTTTTTTTTTCTAAAAGCATTCTCGGGTTAACTATATATCCATTAAAATGTCGCGTGCCACGGCTCTTCGCCTAACCGCGGCGTCTCGCCGTCGTTCCTCGCGTGACATTCGAAAGGTGCGACGACGTAACAATCGGTTTGCGTGCCGCTCGTCGGTAGAAACGGCGACGTCCCTAAGTGCGCCTTCCAAATTTAACGCGGGTCACATGCCGCAGTGACACACACGCGTCTTCGCGCGCGGCCGCGAGATATACCTACGCACGACGAGAGCGCCGCTGGTACAGATCGCACCGGAGTGATGCAACACACAGCGCGGCGATATTATTGCCGGACCGAAATGCACGCGGGGGATTATTGTTCGTTAGGCGGCGGCGGCGACGACGAGATGGCCTACCGAATTTATTTTCGGCCGCGGTCGACCGCAATAAAGAGAATCGCGAAAACACCGCGCGCGCGATCCCGGTAAACACCAAATCCAAGAATATGATCGACAACAGACAGCGCGATGTACGTCGCTTTTAACGCCGATGCGTTAATTAATTTACACAGGGGCGATCGACCGTGACTGCAGGGAGGTCGCCGGGCGATAAGATCGCATTTGCTGGACCGATCTCGTTACACGCGGGGAGTCATTACATGAGGTTTTGCACAATTAATCAGAATGCATGTGGCGCGCGATGCGTTATCACGCGCGTGTTACCTTTCCCACCGGCTTCGTCGCGGATTAGAGATGTGGATGCGCGTTAATTGTACCGCGACGTCGGGGTCACGCGGAAAGGCCCGCCGCCGCGCCGGTTGATTGTTACAGCGCGCGTATACGCCTCTCGCGTACACGCATTTTCGTCGGGTGCATTTTCCGCGACCGCGCGACGCGCGCCGGTTGCGAAATAAACCCCGTATAGCCCGTGAACCCGACGAAATCGAGGAAGCGTACGGAAAATGATTTTATAATGAATGAATTTGGGGAAATTCCGGGTACTCCGCGCAGTTGTATAGGTAGTTCTATATATATGAATTGAATAATATTGACTCTGCGCGCGCGCACGGTCGACGCTGATGCAGGGCGTCCGATATTTTCCGTTTAAAACGAATGTTTATTTTGCCGATTTTAAATTCTATGCGAATCATATGCAACGTCCGTTCACCTAAATACGCTTTTGAAACGTGTGTCAGATAGTTCCATTACGTTTTATTTTTTACCGCGCTATTTGGCGATAAAATGTATAGAGATTTACGTCATAGTATAAATAGAAATGCATATAAAATTACACACAATGTATACATACATGTATATACATATATGTTATATTTCGCATATATTTCTATATACAGTCCTATTTAACTAAATAATATTGACTCTACTTTCGTAATCACGCGCATAATTACCGCATGCGTTCCACTGTGCGATTCGATGTTTACATAATCCGACATTTATTGCACTATTTCATAATGCGGAAAAAAAAATGCGGAAAATTTTTATGCCATCGGCTTTGCGCAGTCATCTGTACATGCGTTTACGCGTCTGCGTTCTTGTCAAAAAAAATTTGGAGCGTAATAGAGTTCGTGCATGCAATCTGCGCGCACATGCAGGAGCGCGCGGCAAATGCTGGAGAGAGCTTGCGACATTAAAATTTCAGGGCGCATAATTTTAGTGTAACAGCATCAATGGTAACGCGTGCGAGAGAAACGCCATACGCTTCGCATTACGCGGTCCGCGATACAGTCACCAACGGCCCTGCGCGCATTCTAATTAATATATGTATAATTCACGTAATTAATATATGAATGTAATCGCGCGTTCCGGCGCTGCCGCGCCGGTTGGCCCCGGTCGTGACCGATCATAACGGCAAACAGCGGGGGAGGGGGAAGGGTGGAAAGAGGGGAGAGAGGGGGGAGAGAGAGAGAGAGAGAAAGAGAAAGCAACATCTGGCTCCGGCCTAATTGTATCACTCCGTGTTTCGGAGCGGAGATTTCGCTTCCGAGGAGATTTCGCCGACTCGGCTAAATTTATGGTAACGATATTCTAACGAAATCAACGCGAGTCTCGTCGTGGGAATTCACCGTCGATCAACGTTTTGCGTAACGAGTCATCGTTGATCGTCAGTGCGCGGCCCGGATTAGCCTCTCGGCGAAACATCAGTCGGACTAATCTTGCCGAGTCAGTTTTTTTTGCTACGAGCGCGATTCCTAATCTTCGCAATGCGAAGAATTTTAAAGGAGCTATACGAGGGAAAATATCCATTCAATGCTAATGCCACTTCCAGACAATTGCATATTAATTATCGCGCCTTCATTACAATTTTAATGCCTCTATCGTAAAATTGCTTCCCAGCTGTCATTTGAGTTAACGACACATTCAATAAAATCGCGGTCTTTCATCGAGAATCGATGTGACTGCGGCACTACTACTACCTTCCC